CCTGCCGTCGCCAGGGCGGACAGCCTCTGAGGAAGGGCTGAAGAGCTACTGCGCCGTGGAGTGGAGGGTTATGGACACCGGCCAGGCGGTTCGGGGTTTTGGCTTGCCAGTTGTCCTCTCTAACTGTAACTTCGCAAAATTTCTGACGTCTCTTCGAGTCGCCCCCAGGTGGCCGTTGTTGCGCCTCGCAGCCGAACATCGTGGTGCCATGGGCCGCACGGGATCCTTTGGACACGAGACAAAGGGCCGGGGTGCTGCGTTGAGCAAAATGCCGAGGCCTTCCGTTGTAGAATCTGGCAGTCCGGATCAGAAAGGTGATTCTTCAAGCCCACGTCTGCAGGCTGCCCGCATCCCGCATCTATGGGCTCGGAGTAGAATTCAGAAGTTTCACATTAATGACCCTCCCTGCCCATATATCATCACCCCAAAATGATCTTGCAAAACAGCAGCGGCTCAAAACCCCTTGCCATTGAACTGCTGCAGGGCTACTGTAGGGTAGCTTCGGGCGTGGCTCAAAGGCCCAACAAATCACTGGATCATTCTGAGACAAGCTCCTTCAACCCTTCCGTTCACCAAGCACCACAAGCGCGATAGAGAGAAGCCCGGATCCCGTCGGAGGCCTGCAGGTTTCGGGCGGTCAGTTCAGGGCGCCGGCTGATTACATGTATCAATGCCGGCTCTGCCGAACATGATTCAACACATGTGATGCCTGCCTGAACGACTTGTGCACCGGCCGGATCCGACCCCATGAGAGGTCTGCCAGCAAAGCACATGCAAGCCTCTGAACTGCTCGACACCATCTCTCACCTGAAGGTACACGCGTACGCCCGCTTTGCTGTACCGGACATAGCTACAGTACGATGATCAGGGGATGTTTCGGAACTTTGGGATCGGCGTCGGCGACAAGCCGTCTGGCATCAGCATGGAGGTGGGCTGTAGCGGCGACTTGAGAGTGGTTTGCCTCGTACAATCGTCATGGCTCTCATGCCATTCAGCTTGCATGAAGTCGGAGTTATGATGTCACTGGCAGGCGGTTGCAAATCCGCCCAAGCCAGTCGAAAGGCGGGATCGAGTTGTATCCCGGAGGGACGACATCTAAAGAAGTAGATGTCTGCGTCGTTGACATGAGTACACGAAGTATACCAGAGTGGAATACAAGTATCGGCCCTTGGACGACAACGTATCAGAGAGTCGCCGCACTTGTCCCGAAGTCGTGAAACATCTTGAAACCACTGCACCTGCTGTTATTTGCAACTGGCTCGGAGGATGTACACTCCAGTCAACTACCGCTACCGCATGGCGGAGGATGCCGAGGTAGCAGCATTTGACTGTTGCTGTGCAATCCATGATCCAGGCTACACAGCCCTTCCCTCTCCCTTCTTTTTTGCTTGTTCTGCACACGGTCCCGTGGCTTTCGAGGCCGAGGCCGGGATTCCTGGGCCTATGGCGCACGGGCTCCTACGCAGGGAACTTCTGTTAAATGGTCTCATACCAGGTCAGGAAGCGCATGCATGTCCACTTTACCTACGTAAAGCAGACAGGATGCTTTCGGCGTCATGAAGCCTTCCCGGAGTTCAGTGTATCAGAGCTCACCACAGCTCTCGGAAGCCCAACGAACACAGGCTGGTGTGTGAAGGATTTTCGAGCCAGCGCCACTCAGATTCTGACAGTCTGAGGCGGCCTGAGCTGCGACGAGAGGCAGACCGGCGGCGGCGGGGCTCCCGAGACGAGGCTATCTGCTCCCGAGTTGTGAACCTCCGCAAGGTTGGGCCGTGGGCCGCTGCTGTTTGATTTGGGCTCCACCACGTTGAGATCTGCCACAGCCCCGTAGTTCTGGGCTCAAGCAACCAACGTGTTGGTCCTGGGCCCATTTCCCACACACCGGCCAAAGGGCAAAGTGAAGACGGGTCCTGCACTCGGATGCGCCATGCAGCCCACTCGGCTTTTGAAGTCCTGCAGATTGCTCTGAGGCCAGGAAGGAGCCACCCAACATGGGAAATAAGATGTGCTGCCAATGTAACGATGCCAGGATCTCAGGGGTCGCTGTTCGGTCCATGCCTTGCCAACAAGAGTCTGAAGGTACCCAGTCCTGCTCCTTCACCGCGGAATGCTGTTTTGGGGCACGGCATAGGGCATACTGTAGATACAGAAAATGCGTGAAACGGGCAAAGTTGTCCTGGCCCCTAGTTTCAATTACACGTCCCGTCTCCGAAGCTCCTATGAACCTTACATTGCGTTCGGCCTGGATTCAAAGACCTCCAGCACCTTAGAAATAGGAGCAGGTTGCCGACGCAATGTGCGTTTCTAGCCAGAAGTCATGAGTGGGTAAACAGCTCCTCGTGGCGGCTTCCGTATTGGAAGGGTGCAGGGTTTCTAGGCTTCCGGGAACAGCCTCAGCAAGGATTTTTCTCCCCGCATGCATCCTGAACGGGGCTCCCACACCTTTGGCAGATTGCAACAGCCCATTTTATCCCACCTTCCTATTGTCATCGTGCGAGATGCGAGGGCGCGGAGGAAAACGTCACAGCAGTGGTCGCCAGGGGGTATGAGGCGTGCGGTGCTTTGGAAAAGTTGTGACGAAGCGCTTGTGCAGATAAAATTCGGTTTTCAGGGGTGTCTAAAATCTGGAAACCCTATGTATCAGAACTATGCATCAAGCTTTCGAGCCAGTGCAGATACTGCATGCGCCGGTCCTGAAGCGTGGGTGGACACGTCTTGTGTTCGCTTGTACCTTGCAGTTGCTGCGGCAGTGCCTGTTCCGATTCGAGGGCACTGCAGAGCTGGTGAGGCAGCATGCAAACACTGCCAGTGTGTAGCGAACATAGGTGGGAATCCGTGGTATTGGTCTAATGGTGACGCACTGTCAGCATCGGAGGTGGACCCGGACGAGACCCTCGATTCCAAGCGCGACTCGCTCTTTGCTGGGACGTTGTCTTTTTGCTTTGGCAGGATTATGATGCCTAGCATGCCCGGATGGTGAGCTCTCTCGAAGCCTATACCTATACCTTCTCAGTGGACCCCGCTGCAGCTGAGGAACTGTGGTGACCATAGTATTTCAGAAGCCCGATGGCTCCAACAAGGACAATTTTTGGATATGAGCAGCCCCGACAGTCTGCATGGTGTCATCCGCGCATGTCTCTGGTGATTTGTAGCATGGTTCATAAACCCTGAACCTTCTAAACTGCACAGAGCGCCCATGGCAAAAGGAGATAAATTTCACCATGCGGCCGTGGGGCATCGACTTCACCAAGGCTGTTTGGGCGCCCGGCTTTCGCTGAACACAGTGGCATGATCTCACGTGCGTCTCCACCATGTTGTGGAGCCGAGGTCCCAGTGACTGTGAAGCGAGTCCGCGCGAACTCACACGCAGCCAGCCTGGGGGTGCAGACCGAGCCTCTTTTGCGACAAGAACTTTGTTGACTTCGGAGCTTCGGTGCAGTGTTGGGATGATGGGGCGGTGTCAGAAGCGCTAATGGGTTGCTGATCCTTCCTTTGGTCGATCTTGGCCGTGTTGTTCGGGACAACACCTTCGGAACACTGCTGCAGATTCTAAAACCCGGATCATGAGGCACGAGGCTCTGCGCAGATACAAGAGAGGCCGACACCCTTCCCAAGAAGCTACTGAGGACTGGGTTGCTTTGAAGATCGCGCGCGGCTCAGACCGACAGATCTCTGCAAAGGCCACAGAACGTTGGCATGATTTGCAGAAGTGTGTTTTCAAGCTGACATTGGATGCTTGCTACACGAAGCCATTCGAACTCTCCTCTGCTACGAGCCATTAGGGTCCCCCCGTGCGCTGCCCCTTTGGCGGCCACACTAGATCCCTTTAATTTTAGGAGCTGCCGGTATGAAGCGGCTGGAAGTTGAGTACAATGACGAAGGTCTTTGGTCGTTGCCGCTTCCTGTAGAGTTTTCGGCATTCATACCAAACAGAAGGCGAAACATCGTGCACAAGTGTTTGTTGTCTAGATGCAGCTCGCCACGTCGCGGCAGTAGGCGTGGGTGTCAGAAGTAGTTTGCATCGAAGAACCTGCACAGTTGCTTGGGATTCCGTGTTTTTCCAATGGCTTTGTACATTGCCCCTGAACCTTGCACCAAACACAGGACCACAGTAGCCCCGCAATACATGCATGAATGCAGAAACCTAGGCAAGCCCCCTTCGAATCTCATGTGCAGACCCGCCCAGGGTGAGAGGGATATGCCGGAGGAGTTCCCAGCCTCGGGTGATTGTGTGTCGTGGTTCGGGGATGTTTGGGACACTTCGACAGGATCCATTTCTGGCAATGGCTTGCAAGCGGGCATTCGGGCTGCCCAGGTTGAGGCTTAGGGTTTCGGTGGGAATGCTCCTGAGCTGGAATATCGGATACATAGGCTTTTTCTGCTGTTAGAACCCGCAAAAAGCCAAAATGAAAGGGACGCGCAAGCAAGTCTTTCGAGGAGGTTCAGCAGGAATGGCTATATAGATAGTCATGCAGCAGGGTGGCCGTGGGCCAGCTGTCAGCTGTCGGCGCTCCGAATTCAATGCCTCTCCGCATAGACCAGCTTTGAGGATGTGATAGCATGTTGCCCTTTTTGTTACAGGCCCATGTTAAGCCTAGCAACAGTTGGATGCTGTCCCCCGAAAGCCGTAGCCGTTGCCCCAGCACGCAATGCCGCCTGTCAAAGCTGAATGTGCCATGAGGTTTGCGGAAGCTATGCAGATAATTCAGAAAAATGCACCGGTCTCAGTGTTACTTGAGCTTCGGTTCTTCGAGTATGATCGAGACGAGCTGGAGACAAGGTAAAACGAGGGTTGCATGCCATGACTCCCCATGACAGGTCCTGAGCCTGCCGGAAAGAAAATGAAGCTGGCAAAGGCGCGAAGGGAACATGCGCATAGTGCTCTGCCCTCCCGCGCAGACCACCGACACTGAAGTGCCCCTTTTGCGCGCTCCCAGGTTGGATGCATATCGGCACATGGCCACGCCGGGAGTAGATGAGCAGGGCCCAGATCTGCACTTCTTCCTCGTGGCTTTAGTGTGCTAGCTAAGAAAAGCCCTGGAGACAGGCTGCAAGGTCCTTTGTGGATTGGATCCGTGCATGCAAGATACCGTCCCTACACATTGGAACATGGTATGCTAGGAGTTGATGAGCTATCACCGTGCTCGCAAGCAGCAGGGAGATGCAGGTCGCAATGATTCGCCTGCACGTTCCTAGTCGTAGCAGTGTGTCTCACACATATCCTGAGGCTCCAAAGGTCTTGCGTCATGCTAGGCGATGGCACCAGAATCAAGCAGTATTATAGGGAAGATGCCCCAAGCCGGGAAGAGCTTAGGGAGCAGTCTTTGATTCGGTGGGCTTCCGCCCACCCCGCTGCTGGGCATTTTCTTGGGCGGCTCTTTTGTTTACTGCGTCCCCGAATTGACTGACCTGGTGGGCTGCATGGTGGGCTTCTTCGCAGCTGCATGTTTGAAGATCTGCACACTCTTGTCATGTGAGGCCTGATGCCGTTGCGTCGCTTTTTTGCGCGGGGGTGCTTCGTTCAGTGCCTTTACCCTTTGGGACCCCCCCCCCTCACCGGAACTAAAGCCTTCTATTGCACATCATGTTTTCGCCGGCTGGTCAGGTTCACGCGTTGGGGATTCGTAGGCAGCTTAGGTTTGTTACCATGACGTAAGGCAGTGCAGGGAGCGGTAAGCAGGTCGGCGAGCCTCGGAGGTTTGCTGCCTCCTGCCGTTGCGCAGCAGAGGAGTGCAGGTATGTCTCAAGGGCGAAGGTTGAGAGCATCGCGCTTCTTAGCCGCCTTGCGGCCTAGCGTCTAGTGATTCCAGCATCGAGGAAGCGCTACAAACGCCTTGTCCCCGAGACATACCTTTGAAACACGTGTCTTTGGCGGCCCGGGGTCGTTTGCTTGGCTCCAGACTATGTCTGCCTGTAGTTGAATTAGACGAGGAATGCTGGAAGGGCATTGAGGCAAGGCAGGCGGTTGTCCAAAGCAGGCTTGCGAGGCAAGCACGGCCCGTCGTTTCATCCCGTAGTTTGCTGGGTGGGGCATGCATGGGCAGAGTGTTACACCAAGTAGAGCAAACGAAGGCATCTGACAAGGTGCTGGCAGTTTACGGGTTATTCCGAGACTGTGCCGTTTGAGGGTAGGGCGGCGTCGTCATCTTTCTGTCGTAGGGGGTCATACGTCCCAGTTCACAGGGGAAGGCTCACACCAAGACCGTGAAGAGAGCTTTTGAAGGTATCACGCTTCAGGGTTCGGCTTCGCTGCGAGTGTGCATGTGTTGGTCAAGGAGAGCACATTGACGCACGTTTTTTTCCGCAAGCAACTCGGCCTTGCGGCCCTTGTCTCACCACCGACAAGTCAGGCAATCTTGCAGCCAAGACATGTTGGCAGCGCTTGATCCTTGTCTCGAAGTGCTACTCGTACCTGCAAGCTTTCAAGCAGTCACACTCAACAAGCCGCACTGCAGAATCAAGGATCCCCGTCAAAGTCTCAAGGTTCGTCTTGAAGATCTGGCAGACAAGCTGCATCAATGGTGTAACCAAAAGTCTTTTCGATGTTGCCGCGTTTTACGGAGGTTTGGGGTGCGGAGCTTGGAGTTCGAGAGACTGCAAAGCTGTGACGTCATCATATTCAGAGGGGGAGGTTTGGGACGCTTAAAGTCTAAACAACCTTCACGTCAAGCTTCAACTTTACTTGAGCAGTAATACAGTTGGAAGCCAGCTGTCTTTTGTTTTCTCTGAGAGGGAGAGGGACCGGAAAGCAACAGCCCTACACACGCCTTCAGGAAGGCTTGTCCCTGGAAAGGTTGATGGCGGTGAGCTGTCGGTCGTGCTTGTCTTTGTTGTTGCTTTGTAACCGAGTTCTAGTTATGCTTGAGAACATGCATCCGAACGTTTATAGTCAGTTTTTGTTCCAAAGGAGCTCGGACAAGGATCGCAACACAAAACCTCCAGCCAAGGATTGAACAAAAAAAAGTTCCACACGCCAGTTTTGCATGCAGCCCCGCAACCGTTGAAATCGATAGGTCGCCTGCAGAGAACCCGCCCCGAAGTCAATCCTTCCCAAGCGGCAAGTCAGTGCCAGGGCGTGATGGCGGCCAAAGTGAAGTCGTCCTTTCACCCGAAGCCTGGTCCGGGAAGGCAGTGTCCACAGAATCGTGTTTCAAAGGAAGCCAAAGGAACCTTTCAGCAAGGCGGTGTACATTCATCCACTTCGCTCCTTTGCAACAGTCTTCAGGCTACCAGGCCTCCCACCAGCTGTGCCAAACCACAATTATAATGAATATAGTTAACAGTACTCGAGCCCCACGCACTTGCTTGATGTAGCTAAGAGTACTCTACGAGAGGTAGATGAAGAGCAGCTTGACGCACACGAACGCATTTGGCTCAAGACACAAAACAAGCGTGATCACTACCGTGTCTTGAAATCATTGATTGCTTTGCAATTAACTGGTTAACAGCCTCAGCTTAGCTTGGTGTAGGTAGTGTAGGATCCTACCGACGCCATAGCACCTTCCGTGTCGCTCCCTTAGGGTAGAGCTTGTAATCGGTTCGCCGTAGGTCTAGCAAAGACCTGCCCACTTCCATACTACTTTCCATATCCTGCACTGTCAATCTCCTGGGGTTAGAGCCAGAACCCTACAGTTGAGATCCCAACCAGAGCGTACATCGCAGCCTGGTTTTGCACATTATCTGTGAGGTCCCAATCTGCTGCGTGCTTCGCCTGCTTGCTCAGGCATCCGCGTGGTAACCTTCTTCGGGTTTTCTAAAGCCCCGCCTTAGCACCTCTCCCGTAGTCCCGTTCACGGACAAAGGAGGCCAGGCCTTGTGGTGCGACAGGCGATCCAGTAGAGCTCAGAACAGAACCGCAACGAGTCAGGAGTGAGATTGCATCCCAGCAACCCTCCTGTAAGAGTTCAGCTGAGATTGGAGGTTGATTGAGATTTCTGGTTTGGGTTAGCGTGGGTGTTTCCCGTGCTCGGCCTTTGAACCGCTTCCTCAGTCCCTCATCCCAGCTGTAGACTGCCTCGGCAGCACAGCACAACAGCCAAAGGCAAACAAAGAATCAATTCCAAATCCCTTCGGCTCTCAGTCTGCCAGCCAGGGGGTCTTCCTAGTTGACAGTTGTTCATCTGGGTTGTTAGTGGGTAATCAAGGAGATTATCTGGATTCAGCTTTCAGAGGCAAGGCATCGAGGCGTGCTTACGCAGCCAACGGGGGATAATTGGGTAAGGCCTCGAGACGAGCCTTACGGCAGGGTCGACGAGCATCCACCGGGTTTTGGGGTAGGTGTTCATAGGCCGTCAATTTTCCTTTGAAGTCGTCACTGCATGCCAGCTGCTCCAGCCGATACTCCAGAAGCTAGATTTGCGTTGCAAGCCGCTCTCCTTCTCCACGAGACAAAGAGAGGTGGCGGCGGGTCAAGCGGACGTGCCAGACGGTCGCTTCACATCAAAATCGTCTCTGGATTTGCAGTGGAGCTGAGGTCACTTGCTGTCCTGTCTGAGCCAGACCGGCATAATCTTCAAGTGGCCGAGGAATACATTGCGTGGCTGGAACACAACACGCCTGATCGTGGGGCGGGTCTCCCTGTTTTCTTGAATTCACCTGGCCCTACGCTCTTCCCGCGGGTTCATTCTGTTCCTCCAGCGGTACCTGCTAGCTCTCCTTCTGTTTCCACTCCGCCTTCGCCTTCGATTCGTGCCTTGGGTACTGATTCGGAAAGGGTTGCGGGATCTTCAGGGCTAGAGGCTTCCGGGTCGCTAAGTGTTCTTCCGAGTGGGAGAAAGTTGCCGCCCCAGCCTCCTGTTCCAAAAGCTAAAACAGGAATCCCGCCATCTACTGCACCAAACGTTGGACCATATCTAACGCTCGGACAGCGAGCAGCGGTTATCTCACCTAACAATCCGTTGCTTCGCGTGCGGTCGAGATCTCCACCACGGTCCTCTTCGATCCCATCTGGATCGGCGAGCAGCGGGGTTGGACCCGAGAGGGAGCGCGAGGCGGCCGAACATCTTGAGAATCCGCTTGAAATCGCCGCGGTTCCAGCCGAGGAGGCTGCCGAGGAGATTCTTGAATCAGCCGAGGAGGCTGCGGAGGAGACTCTTGATTCAGGTGCGGCTGCAAGCAGCGGGGTTGGACCCGAGCGCGCGACAACAGGCAGCGGGGCTGGACCCGAGAGGGAGTTGAGGTTCCGACCTGTGGCGCGTCAGGTGACTTCGCTTAAGGTTGCGGAGGGATTGCTTCCGCCGGGTACTTCTGTGCTGCTGTCATTGGACATTCATTTGGTCGCTGACCGCGACGAGGCGGGGACATCTGCGTGCCTTGAGAGAATCTTGCGAGAGCACTCGGATTTGGCTGTGATTTTCTGCTCGTACGCGGTGAAGCAAAAGACCATTGATAAGGCGGTCCAGTGTATCCACCGTATTTGTGATCGGACGATTGTGCGGCGCCCTTTGACCTTTCCCATTTTCTTCACGACATCCAAGACTGCGCCGGGCACAGGCAAAGGAGCACAATTGTCTAAGTTGGCGAATATCTTTAGCCGGTCGCGCCCCGCTCCACTGACTTCTTTGTATCACGTGGACGATCAAGATCCGATTTGCAAGAACGTGACATCCTACGGCCATCACGGTGTGACTTGGGCGGAGGAGGACCCGCGTTCTTTGGATCAGATCGTGTGGGAGCTCTGCTGGCTCTAGCCGCCGACTGGCAAAACAGAACGGCAGAGGAAGACTGCAAACGCAGCTCCTCGGGGTTGGGTTCGTGTTGAGGGTCAACTTTGACGGTTGGGGTGAAGTATTTTTACAACCCTTAGACCTCGGTTGAACCGCTGTTCCCATAATGCCTCTAGCATCACAACTGGGATTCGAGGAATCCTCACTGGAAATTTCATCGTCAAGCACGCCCCCTAGGGCTTCGGCACTTAGCGTGCGCCCAGAGGCAGCTAGGCAGTCGGATTCATCAAGTTCGGGGCCAATTCGGAGGAACCGGGCTAGATCATTGTCGTATGGACCCGCATCGAGGTCTTCATCCCTGCAACCGGCACCAACCTTTGCAGCGAATGTTGGCCCTGCCAGTAGTCAAAGCCCAACCGGCCCGAACACGAGCCATCAGGAGTTGCACTTGCACCAACATGCCCAGAGGCAGCAGGTCCTTCAGGTTGGGGTTGACCCGGTAACCCATGCAAACATGCAATCCGAAGCAACAACTGCCGTTATGAACGCGAGAGCTGAGACGGCAGCCGTGTTCGGTGAAGCTGAAGCAGTGATTATGTCTCTAAGATCAGAGAACCAACAGCTAGGTGCCCAGGCCGCCGCGATTCAAGGTGAGTCGTATGCCGCCATACAGGCGCTAAGGTCCGAAAACCAGCAGTTGGGTTCACGCGCTTCGGTGATTCAGGGTGAAGCTGAAACGGTGATCGGAAACCTCCGAACTGAGAACCAACAGCTAGGAGAGATGAATCGCGAGCTCAACCAGAGACTCGAAAAGCAAGCTAAGATGATCCTTGAGCAGCAAGAGTTATCTAAGGCTATGCATCAACAGCTAATCGCACTTCAGTCGCATGTGCAAGCTGCCGAACCTAAGAACCCAAGCATCCCTCCATCGGCCATCCCCGCGAGCTCTACCCAAAATGGCGCGGATCAGGCTGCGTCTGCATTCAACGCATTGCAGGCACTCGCGGGTGAAGTTGGGGGAACAATGCGAAGGATTGAACAGGCAATTGAGGTAGCCCTTAGTCCCAAAGCTAAAGCAAAGAAGCAGAAAGCTAAAGCCGAGGCTACAGCTAGGGCCATTGCACCATCAGTTGCGTCTCCAATTCCCGCTAAGGCTTCCGGTTCTAGTGGTTCGGTTGCCCCGGGTCCGGTTGAGTTTGGATTGCCACCGTACCAATGCAGTCGTAAGAACATCTTCACGGGTAGATTGCATTCCGCAACACCCGCACCTCCACCTCCTCCACCACAGAAGCTAAAGCCCCAAGTCTTCGACATAGCAGATGAAGATGACTTTGATGAGCATGGCGAAGATGAGGGTGATGAGGACGGAGAAGATTTCGAGGATGATCCAATCGTCCCCATTGCGGCTCACGAGCCTGAAGATGACAGAGATTACGAGTCTAGCATTTATAAGTACAAAGACCTGAAAGACATCAAGCTTCCCCAAATTCCGGGTTCTAGCGTTGAGTTCAGGGCTTACCGCAATTCGGTGCTAACACAGATTGCGTCAATCGATTGCAGCGGCAAAGCCGTCCTGTTGAAGTGGCTTCAGAAGAGCCTTGATCCATCAGGGAGCATTGCATTGACACGGTCGCTTCAGCAGGATTGCGAGGGTTTGCCTAGACTTGATGGGTGGATCTCCGCATGTATCAGTGATGCGAAACACCTAAAAGGTGAATGGGGATTGCAAGCGCAGTCGTACTTGAAAGGTGTCATGCGTCTGGGACGATGCCATCGGGTCGTGCACTCTTGTCCATTCTTAGCAGAAGATACCGGATAGATAAAGTGCGCGGGCCATTGGTGACACTACAATCCTTGTTCGATTTAGAACCTGACTCATTTTCCTACCAATCGCTTGTAGCCTTCAAACAACGCGTCGAGTACGTGTTGAATGGCTTACCGGAGCGGCAATGGCCAGATGCCGAAACAATGTTTTCCTGGATCTACTCACGGCTAAAGGGATGCAGGATGCTTTCACGCACCGTTGATCGGGTCAAAGATGCCAAGCCGGGTTCCAAGCGTAGGACACTTGAGTACATTTGGAACGGGCTCGAAGAGGTTCTTGCAGAAGTGCGCGAGGATCGTAACGAGCAAGCGCTCAAGGATTCGCTCAAAGAGGATTCCAAACAGAAGCCGAAACCAGATGCAAATGCGAAAGCAGCCGCGGCCAAGGCTACGCCCGCCGCTCCTGCTGCAAAGGCAAATGCAAAGGCTAAGGCCAAAGGCCAAGGCAATGACAAGCCCCCCGAAGGCCCCGAGCAAAGCAACTCCAGGAGTCACCGACGCCAATCGTGGTGCCGGTGAGGGTGCCAACAGGGACAAAGGCAAAGGTAAAGGGAAAGGCGGGGGTAAGGATGGCAAGGCCAAACCTCAGAAACCTCCAGCTGCAAAGGATTCGTCAGCAGAACAGTCCGGCCAAAGGCC